CATGAAAAGAATAGGTATACATCTCTTCATCTACTATGGAATTTATTAATAGAAAATATGTTAAAACGGGATATTATTTACTTATTCTCATTCTATCAACTATTTAGTATATTATTATTGTTTTTAATGGAAATTAATGAAATCATATTTTTCAAAATTTTTATTATTATTTAAAGAATATGGTTTAATTCAAATTCTAAGATATCAAAAAATATTACATATGCATTATGCATTAAGTAGAAAATATTTTATATTATTATATAAGATAATAGAAGATAATAAAAATTTCATTTTACATTATTTATAAATTTTACATTTTAATTTATAAATCATATACAAATCATAATTGGAAAGTAATTAATTTTTTAAATATGTTATGTATAAGTAATTTTTTTTGTACATAAATTTTATATTTATTTTTTTATTTGAATAAGTAATGTAAGATTTACAATAAGAAATATATTTTTTCCTTTTCTCTTTCAATTCATGTTTGATCTTTTTTTTTTTATAAAAAGTTCATTCTTATTTTATTTACAATCACACAATATAATTTAAATTAAAAACTTTAATTTAAATTAATTAAGAAGATTAAAATTACACATTTTATAATTTTACAAATTGTAAAATATTATACTGAAATTTTTAATTTTTATGTTTTTTTTTTTTTTTTTTTTTTACCAAAATTCTAATTCTTTTTATTTTATGATCTAACTCTATATATATAACTCTATATATATTTTGAATAATTATTCAATTTAAAATAAATTATGAATATTATTATAATTAATTATAATTTATATAAAAAAAAAACTAAAAAAAATTGTTTATAATAAATGTTTTATGACAACTGCTTTAGGTAAATAAAAATTTTTGTAGATAAAATGTCCAAAATTTGTTTGAAAAATAATGATAAAGCAAAACAAATTTGATATTAAATATTTATTTAAATTTGATTTATAAATATTTGTTTAAGATTATATCGTCGTCTTTATATCAATATGTATTATTTTATTATTCAACAGATTCTAATTATAATAAATAAATTAAATATATATCTTTTGATGATTTTATTTCAAATTTTTTTATTGCTTTCTTTTGAATATTAATTTTTATTATCTGCTATTAAAAAACTTAAAATTTCTTGAAAAATAAAAACCAAACATCTGAATAAAAATATAAAAATTTTACTACAATTTTACTACACCAATTTAATTCATTCTATATTTTCATCTCCATTTATGTCTTCAATCAGATAGATTTGACGAACAATTTATATTTTTATATATCACAATATATTTCTTTTAAAATTTCACAAATTCTTCTATCACATAATTTTTTTTATTTTACTTTATCATTTTATATTATTAATTCTTTAATTTTAATTTTCTTTTAATTTTCAAAATTAATAAAATCTCTTTTTGAATATATAAATTTTATCATCCACTCATTTACAAATATGTCTTTCTTAAAATTTTTCCAATTCCTCTCTGATATAAACTCTGTATATCCATTTATCATTTTTTAACATTTCAAATATATTTCTCCTCATTTTTTTTAACAAAGGCGATTTGTTATTATTTCAAACTCATCCAGACCATTTCTATATTTTATATTTTCAAAATTATCTTCTTTTAGATATATAAATTTCACGCTTACTTGTCATTTTCTACAATGTTTTTTACATTCTTTACAAATACATCTTTTCTTACATTATAATAACCAAATTCTTTTAAAATAGAAATCGAACTTTCCTATATTAGGATCAGAATTCGTCCCTTGTTGCATTTTCATTTCCACACATTTAGATAGATGACAATCGTCTTTATTTTTTTTCGAAACTCAACCAATTTTATATTTTCAAAATTATTTTAATTTTTTCTTTTACATATGTAAACTCCATAACACGTTCACTTGTTTTCTGATCCGAATATATCACTTTCTTAAAATTTTTCTCATGCTTTTTTCCCTTACCATTTACAATTTTTTTACAAATAATAGAGATCTTTTCCAAAATTTTTTAAAAAATAAAAACCAAATTTCTTCAGAATAGAAATTGAAATTTTTCTATATCTAGATTCTATTCATTGTATTTTCATCTCCTCCTACGCGTTCTTATCCAGGTAGGTTCGTCCTTAGCGTGGGTGGGGATGATTTCGACCATGCGGAAACGAGCCACGTGCCGTTAAACAGCGCGCGCTCATGATACACAGTTCCGCGAAACTCGGTCGGCCGGATGCTGAGCGACGTAGGGCGTAGGCCGGATTTCGCTTCGAGAATCCGATTGCACTCCGGTGCTTGTAATTAGTGGAGTGCGTACCAACGCATGCTTTATCGTCATTACGTTACGAATATAGAGGTGGTCTGCACCCTTTGCTCATTTTTTTCGGATCTTCTCCTTACTCAATTCTCGCCGATTCGGTTCGTCTCTCTTCATCTATAGATTTGTTATTTATTATGCGATGAGTCCTCGCCAACTTTATCTCGAACATCCGGATGCGCATGTTATCTTGAGATTGAAGCCGGAAATGAATTGAAGCTCGTTTTTTGCCTCGGAATTTCTCATGTTTCTACTATTCGTTTCTCTTGGATTGCATTCTCTTTCGAAGTGGAGTTCATTTGAATGAAATGAATCGAGGTATTTACGTTTGTATTTCGATTTTTTTTTTTTAGATATTTTTTTCTATTTATTTAAAGATAGGGAATGGATTGAAAAGAAACATAGAGTTAAAATTATTTTTTGCTTTTTTTCATGATTTTTAATGAACAAAAATTGTTTTTTATTAATATTGTTTTAATGATTTTATAAATTTGAATTATTAAAATATGAATTTGATGTGCCGCAAAACATTTAAAAATCCTTATTTTTATTGCTTATGTACATTTATCTTCATTAATTTATAATAATTTAATTATTATGTTAAAAATAATTTTGAATGAATGAAGAAATTCAAATTAAATTTGGAGTAGATTAAAGGAAATTTATAAATATATATGTTTAAATTCAAAAATTTAGAAATTATATTTTTATATAAACTAAAAAATTTCTTACAAATAATTACAAAAGTAACTATTTACAATAAATGATTATTAATATTGAGAAAAAAAAATATTTAAAATTTATTTAAAGATACTATAAAAATAACTGGCCATTTTGATGAATTAAAAGTTTGATTTTAATTTATCTTTTTAATCTTTTCATCATCTTTTTTATCGTTTTTTTTTATTTTGTTGTATATATTTTATAGATACATCTTATTATTTAGCAAATTTTAATTGTAATAAATAAATTATATATATATTAGAAATTTCTTAATATTTCCAAATTCTTGAATCATAATGGATTTAATTTACCCATTGTAAACATGTCAGTTTGCTTATTCATTTTAAAATATTTGTATGAAATTTAAAAACAATTATAATATAATATAAAATAATAGATAAATAATAATATTGTAGATATAATAGATAATAAATAACATGAAAATAAAAATATTAAAAATATTTTAAAAATATGTTCTTAAAAGAAAGAAATTAAAGTTAAATTAAAAATTAAAATTCGAAAATCTTTATGATATTACAAAATTACTTTTTTACATATTAAATCTGAAAAATTGAGCATAAATTTTTTTCTTTATTGAAAAATAATTATACAATTTTAATTTTTTTGTTTTAGTATAGAGATTTGGTTTAATAAGAATGATAGAAAAAAATACATTTTCAATTTTTATGAAATATAATGTAAAACAAAAACTTGGTTTATTTGAGAATCGTATTACATGCAAATACTAAATACTTAAATTGCTGGAATATTATAATTATTGATACATAAATAATTCATATTTATTTTATTTGTTCTTAATGAGTACTTGTTGTTTCTTTTTTGTAAATTTATCGTTATAGTTATTGTTTGGTATTAAATATTTAATTAAAAATTAAACATAAAAAAGATATGAATTAAAACAAAATTTTTTAGGAATATTAAATGTAAATTCAGAAATAATATTTCTAAATTATAAATTATAAAAGATTTCATATGAAAAATAAAGATTTTCAATATTTTTTAAAAATAGTATATAGAACAGTATATAGAATATATGTGTATTTAAAAATTATTATATATTTTTTATTATATTATTTTATAATAAAAGAGATTATTATATAATTTTTTGATAATAAATTTCATTTCATTTTTGTTTTATCTTATCAATTATATTGATATGCTATATATGTTATATATGTATTGTAATCTTAAAATTTTATAATCAGGAAATTAAAAGCGAAAATGTTTTGTAATATGAGACATGATTCTTTGACTTTGCATTTTATTCTTATCTTAATGAGTATTATTGTCTTTAAAAATATTTCTCGCTAAAACCTTGTTCAAATTAGTCAAATTATCTAAATTATTTGAGTTGGAATACTTACATAACTTGAAATTACTATACCAATTTGTGATCATTATTTCGAATATAATAGAATTTAAATAATTCGAATCATTTTACTAATGCATTTGATTTAAAATATTTTTACCAATTTTAAATAAAATTCTGTTTTTAACAAGTATTATTCAGCACAATTTTTCTAAAATATTTCTTGCAATTATTATTTTCATATAACATTTGTATTAGTTAAAAATTCGAAGAAAATATGATATAACTAATATGATAAATAAATAAAATGTTTAATTTGGAAAAATTATAAATAAAGTTAAATTTTAATAAAAATTTGAAAAATATTTTCATGTATCTGAAATTATTAGATATTACACAAATATAGATTTTAAAAGATTTTAATATTTAATAGAAAAAAATTTTTACATAAAGAATTTCTTATTTTTTATATAAATCTTAAATTAAGTTAAAATAATATAAATAAAATTATAAATTAAGTTGAAATAAATAAAAGAAAATTGAAAGATTTGCATAATCTCTCAAAAGTTATTTAATTATATTATATTATACTATTATATTTTACTTAATATTTAAATCATAAATAAATAATATTTATTTTCAGATTTAATATGAAATATGATAAGTATTGAAACTAGAGGATTTTTATCGAAATTGTATCCCAATTTTATTCTGATTGTGATTTATTTTTTCGCATGATAAATTATAATACTAACAATTCAAAAATAATTAATTTTTACAATAAATTTTAATTATTAATTCAATTATTCTAATAGATTAAAAGTCTAAGGCATTTATTTTAAGTAATTTTTTTTTGAATTTATTTTTTCCAAAATTTTTCAAATTTGTGATGCTCGGTGTGATTTTTCTATAAAATATCAAAGATATCAAAAAAATTAAGATATCAAAAATCTTCAGGAATGTCTTGCAAACTTTAAAAATAAGACATTTTTATTTTCTATTAAGTGAAATTATTATGTTTATAAAACACATAGATTTAGAAAAAACAGTTAATTTAGAATAAATTAATATTTTTTTTATTCGTTTTTATATATTACTATAACTTTTACAAAAAATCTTTCGGCAAAAAAGACTTTTTACAAATTTTTTATAATAAACAAATAATCTGATAAAATGCACAATATTCACAAAACATACAATATTTACACATAAGATAGTGTAAAAAAAAGATAAAATTCGACAAGAGAATACCAATTAAGATACAATAGTTGATATTAAATTTAAAAATGTTAAAATAGATAATAACTGATTTCATAAATTTTTTTTTCATTGTTATTTGAAACTATTTTATTTAAAAACAAATATTTAGTAAAAAAAATATTAAATTATATTTTGAATACATTAAAAAATAAAAATTAAATGAAAAAATGTTATTTTAATAAAAATTCTGAAAATAATATTAAAAGAAAAAAAATAATAAAAAACTAGCACAAATATTTTAATTGTGTTTTATTTTCCATTCTATTTTTTTTTTAAATTCTATTTTAAAAAGCGAAAATTGAATTTTTTATATGTTATACTGTAGAATATCTCTTATTTGCACTATAAATTGGTAAGAGATAATTTTTCATGAAAAAGATTTTGAAGAATTAAAAAGAAAAGATAAAATTTTTTCATTTGAAATTTTTCAAGTAGCTAAGTACAAGTAGCTAACTCACGATAGAATATGAATAAACTATTGATAAATGATTACTAATTACTCTACATAAAAATGAATAAAAAATGTGTAATAATTGCTTAAGTTTTTATTTTTGTATGAAAATCGAGATTAAACATATACAGTCAGAGAATCATATAATTGGCGATTGTCAAATTTAATTTTTACTTGTAAAATTATCTTCTATCAATTTATTAATTTTATTAATATCTAATCAGAAATTAGCCAATTTCATTTGAAAAATTTTCAAATTTAATTTAGTCGAAAATGAAGCTTTAAATGAAAAAATTTTATTCTATATTTTCGATTTATTTTTTTCATTAGAATAATTTTTCCATTATTATCCATTTTGACATTTTATATATTTGAAATATGTATTTCTTTATGTAATTAATATTTTTATGATAAATTCATTTGCAATATCTTATGTATTAAATTTAAAAAAATGAAAATATTTATTTATAATTAATTTCTAAAATAGATTTTAGAAATTTATTTTCTGTTCGTCTATAAGCTTTTATTTTGTATTTAAAAAGAAGTACATTTGTATTTTGTTTCACTAGCAACTTTCTTGAATTTATTAAGAAAGATAATTTATCGATATACGATATATAATTTTACCTTCAAACTATTATTAAAGCAACAAAATATTGTGAAATTGTATCAGGAAAATTAACACGTTCTCGCGTCGTCGAAAAGAATATATTACATATAAATTAAAGATCACGATCGCGGATAATCTAATAATATATCGACATGTATATAGATTCATGCGCGTTATCGTATCTGCGTTGCATTTTGATCTTATAATAAATTAAAAGCCTCGATTTCCAGGAAAGAATAGTCGACGATGCCCGTAATTTTTGCCCACAAGTAAGAAATCAATACTCTGATACGGTTATAAATCCACAAGATGGCGACAGAACGCGCGTATCGTGTTTGATCTTTCGCGCATGGAAGTGGTGGAATGAAGGCAGCGGAGGGGCGATTCGTTCGAGGAACAAATAAAAAACGCGAGATCGACCTCGTGCCGATAGATAAGTTATCTTCGTGTAAAAGTATCCAGAAAAGTAATGCGATGTGAATTCAATTTTTGCTACGAACGGTTTCAATTTCATAGAATTGCCATCTTGAATTCGAAAGAGATAAACTCGATGTTATAAAAAAAGAAAAATAGATCGGTATTGAATAGAAAAGTGCCTCGTATTGAATTTAAAGTGATAAATTTAAATTACATCTCGAAATACTTAAAACGACTCTCTTGCTTTGTTTTATTTTTAATTTAGGATGTATGATGTTAATTTAGAATTTAGTGTTTACAAAAAGTATTTACGCATTTTCACTTTCCAAGAAGCATTTTCTTGTCATATTTTACATATTCTTCATTTTTTAAAATAAAATTTTTATACATTAGGTATAAAATATAATTAATTTGTAAATATTATGCAATAATACAATGATGTGCAAACATTTGTTGCAGTTACTGTGTAAGTATGCGGGAAGGTAAAAAAAAAAAAGAAGATCGAAGATCTTAATAATACACAAATTTTATTTTATTCATTTTTTTTTTTGTTCCTGCAGAATCGAGGAAATCATTTGTTGAGAGAACAAAACCTCTACAATACGAATAGCAGTTACAAGTAAATATGTACAATAATATAAGTGGTTGCCTTTCTTTTTTTTCTTTTTTTTGTGATTTTTGCTTTATCATTTGTTTCCTGTTTTTCATCTGTTTTGTGGTTTATTACTCCTACTTTCGCACTGTTAATGATAATCGATAATGATAATCAATTAATTAATTAAGAATAATAATGATAATAATTATAAGAATCGTACTGAATCAACATACATCCACCCGGTAAATGGAGATTCAATCGTAGGCATACCAATCGACCATTATCGAATCATGACAATATTGACAAATTGACAGAACATGCTTTTTCTTTAAGCTTCCTTTTTGCATCCTTCCTATCTCTCTCTCTCTCT